CTGACTGTCGCCGTCGCGCTTGCATTGGCACCAACTGAAACAGACATGGCGCAATGTCTTGGACGCCTTCACCATGAATCCATCGATCGGTCCAGAATAATGCAGTTCGACCGTCACCGATGATGGTGTAGGTGGATGCTCGGAAGAAGGCCTGCACCTCAGGAACTGTTTTGATCGGCAGCTCACTCCACACCCTCTCTTGATCTGTCTTTTGTAACCAAAGCCAACGAGTCTGGAGGGCAAACCCCTGGAGCTTGAGATCACTGATGCCCAGGCCGCCAAACTGTGTGGGCTTGCAAACTGCCGGCCAAGCCACCATACATTTGCCTCTAACTGAAGCATCGTTGCCCACCCATAAGAATTTTCTGCAGATTGCATCTATGTCCTTTCGCGCCCATGATGGCAAATTTTCCGCCATCATTGCGTAAATTGGGACAGCACGTAAAACCGATTTGATCCACACTAATCGGCCGCTTCTCGCCTTGAGTGTACCGTGACAAGGAGGGAGCTTCCGGGCTACTGCCTCAACGATTGACTGGACTTTGCTTTTGGGATTGGTCTGGTACTCAGAGGCAGCCCCAGGTACTTGATCGGGAATGGTTGCACCTGGCAGCCAAGGATGCTGACAATGTCATTGAGTGCCTCCTCACCTACGTATATTGGAGTGATGGAGCACTTGGCAAGGTTGGTCTTGAGGCCTGAAACATCCCCAAAGACAGTCAGGATCTCCTTCACTGCTGTTGCATCCTGAACGGTTGGCCGAATGAATAAGATCACATCATCCGCGTATATACTGCATTGGTACGTAACTTCCGGCGGTTCCATCCTTCTGAGTACCCCATCTGTGCTAGCCTTGAGAAATAACCTGTGCAAGATGTCCATTGCTAAGATGAACAGCATGGGCGACAATGAGTCCCCTTGGCGCACTCCCCTGAGATGGCTTATAGGCGGCCCCTGATGACCATTGAGAATTATCCTGGATGATGCCGTTCTAAGCAGCGTTGCAATCCATCTTCGCCATCTGTTGCCGAATCCTCGTGCTTGCAATACACTAAGCAGGAAAGGCCAAGATAAAGAATCAAACGCCTTAGAAATGTCCAGCTTGAGTAGCACCATGGGGACCTTCTTCTGTCTTATCATAACGTCTGCCCTCTGGATATATTTAAAATTATCATGTATCGTCCGCTCTCTGACAAAGGCATTCTGATTCTTGGCGATCAGTTCGTTCAGCCTTGGCGCAAGACGAAGGGCCAGTATTTTGGAGACCAGCTTAGCGAAGCTGTGAATCATTGTGATAGGCCTAAAATCCGTGAAATTTTTGCATTTTGGTTCCTTTTTAAAACATTTTTTACAAAAAAACCTCTGTCAAAACTTTTGCTACAAATAGACCATTTTTAAGCGTCTTAGAAAATCACGCCGAGGTACGAAGGTCGGCGTCGACTGACACGACGCCGATTCCTTGCCACGTCACCGACGACTCCGGGGCTGGCGCATGGGGCCCAGTACGTCGACGTCGTGTCAGCCAACGCCACAGGCCTAAATTCGGCGCTGTGGGGAGTCACACCGAGCTCTTGGCACCATCCGGCGCGCGGCCCAGGCGGCCCAACAACGCTTCGTGGGCCAAGAGGTCGGCGTGCGATCTGATGACGCCGAGACGCTAACCTCGGCGCGGCCCGACTCAACGCCGAGGTTCGGTCAGTTGAGGCCGCGTCGCGGCCCCCTTCTTCTTCCTCCCTCCATTCAGAACCAACAGGTGGCCATTTCCCACTCCTTCTCTCTTCCCACGAACCCTAAATCCTAAATCCAGCTCTTGGAAGGTCAGATCGAGGGTTTTGACGTTTTGCCAAGGTACTCCTCTTTTCCCTCTTTCATTTCATCCATTTAGATTCGGTTGTTTGTGTTTTTTTTTGAACTTGTCATTATAGGTTTGGTTCATGTTCATGTCATTCGTGCAATGTATGGTGGTTCAAATGATTGAATGACCCAAATGTATGATTGTTGTTGTTGTTGTATATGTTCTGGTTTATAATTATTAAGTTAAATTTTGTGTTTGTTGGGATTCAAATTTGCTTAGGGTTTGTAATAAAAAGCTTATTTGGGAGGTATGGTGATTTAGTGCTAGTAGCTTTACATTCGTTGCAAGGTACTTTGGATTGATTTTTTTTCTACGTAATGTTAGGATGCCAAGGCGTGGTAAAGCTCGTATTCCAAGGTAATCTCAATGTTTATTCATTATTTGTGCAACAAATAGAAAACCCTAGGTTTAATTTTGGTTCTCCGTTAATATGACTAAATTTTTTCAATTGTAGCTATGGTCGCCAGAGGGCAAATCCCTACGACCTAAAGCCTCTCCCTGAAGGTGTTCCTCGACCCATGTGCTTTTGTGGTGATCCTTGTAAGGTAGACATCTCTGAAGATGAGGAAACATATAGACAGAGGAACTGGATGTGTCCCAATTATGCATGGGAACCTACAAAGCAACAGCGCCGTGTATCGATTGTGAGGAATTTTTATTGTGTGTTAATTAATTTTCTTGTGATATTAAGTATTGCTTATTTATTTATTTTGTAACAATTTGTTTTTCTTGCAAACCGTTCCACCACTGTGTGACTTTGAGCAGTGGATTGACACTGAGATCAAGGAGTCGGACGAGCAGCATCTAGAAGGCCTGAAGGAGTGGGATGCGGAGGTTAAGGAGAGTTTTGAGCAGAGACGCAGACAGGAGGCTATAGAAAAAGAGCATAAGGAAGAGGAGGAAAGGAGGCATGTTGCTGCGTACAGGGCGGAGAGGGAGAAGAAGCTTGAGCGTGTGTGCCGAGCGAAGGCAGCGATGGAAGAGAATCCTGATGCCCAGAGGAAGGGGAAGTGGCCTCGTTGCACTCAGTAGGTATTTGGTTTATTCATGAGCGATGTCGTGTAGCCCTGGACTTTTTTTACTATGTTGTAATGCACTCTGCTTTTATTTTAGATGAACTTATTCCCTGGACTTTTTTTATTATGTTGTAATGCACTATGTTTTTATTTTAGATGGTCTTATGCCCTGTACTTCGTTAACTATCCTAGGACTGTAGTGCTACTGTTTGTATCACTGAAAAGGCTACTTGTGTTGTTGCGGTCACTGAAAGGGCTACAAGTACTATTGCAGTCAATGAAAAGTCTATTTGAAAACTCACTGAAAAGCCTAGATTCGTTTACTGTTGTATCCGTATACGTAATGAATTAATATCAGAGTGATGTACTGTATTTAGATGAAGTGACAAAACACAGGTGTAGCCTTTTCAGATGAAATGACCAGTCATGGTTGTAGGCTTTTCAGATGAAGCATCTAGCCTTTGCAGATTCAATAAATGAGTACGCACACAAGTTTTTTGTCAAGTAGCATTCATAGTGAACCTGCCTTCATCTCTATATATAGTGCTCTATGTCTTGCTCCACATCCACACAACTTGTTTTCTGGTTTAGTTTTAGCAAATATCGAGCGGAGGTTCCTCGAGTGGAAAGGGTTTTGGCGAAGGGAGAGGAAAGGGGGTGAGGAAGGGACGTCCGATTGTGTGGGAGGGTTCTCTGGGTCCTGATTCTTTTGAAGAACCAATAGAGGAATTTCCTTTGGAGAGGAAGAGTGACTTCACCCGTGAGAGACCTCTTAGATCATACGACAAGCGCATTGAAGATTGGCCAAAATGCCGCCACAGTTTGGATTGCGTTGTGCAGATGTACAAGGACTGTGACGGTGGAGGCCGTCGTTTCTTCAGATGCCCGCGAGGATTTGTATTTCCTTTGAACTCTCTCTTTTTTTAGATTTGCATTTGGTTTATAGTAGTACTTATTGGTAGATGGGTTTTCAGGATTCAAGCTGTCCAGATAACTGTGGCTTCACTAGATGGGTCGACCCTCCTCCTATCTATCCCCATCAACAGTACATCACATATCTACAGGGACGCATCTTTGACCTAGAGTATGGCCCTAGAAGTGGTAACAGAGACAAGTCGGACGACGACAACAAAGAACGATGCGAGAGGAGGCACTATGCAATAATCCGTCTTGCCGAAATGTTCGTGCATTACCATAAGAAGCACGGGCCTCCTTCTCCACCGCCACCGCCACCGCTTGCCGCCCAAGCTGGAGGATACTATGGGGAAGGCGTAACTCAATTCAATATGTGGGAGCATTATTAGGACCAACCTTTGTTAGTCAATCCAAATGTGGAATGCTTGTATGAGTTGTTCTTTTCAATCTCCTAAGGCATGCTAGGTTTAGTTTGCAACATGCCATTATTAGTTTTCATGTGAGTGTGTAATCGTAGTACCTTTGCAACGTCTATATCGCTTGTTTCTTTCAATCCCCTAAGGCATGCTAGGTTTAGTTTGCGACATGCCATTGTTAGTTTTGATGTGAGTGTAATCGTTGTGCATTCGCTATTTCATAAATTGCAGTTTACCTATCTCTAAGTTTCATGTACTATGGTTGATTCCCAAACTGAAAAAAAAGATTTGACTCTCTCTAAAAATAGGAGATTGAAATCGAACCAACCTTCGGTTTTTCCTACAGGAACAAACATAAATATAGCATGTCTACTCTTATTAGTATAACTCGTGTTAGTAGAAGAGGAATCGTTGAGAAAGATTTTTCATTTGAATCATGCAAATAGGATTTCAACCTATACCAAAGGTTTAGAAGACATCTGTCTTTAATACTTTATTCTTTCTTTTTTATGATTTATAGGCTCGGCGTCAAGTCGGACGACGCCGAGGTAGAAGACCATGGCGTTGATTCAGCCCACGCCAACCCTAGGGTTTGGCTCGGTCGTTCACGCCGAGATTAACGGCTCGGCGCCAATTTATGGAACGCCGAGCTTGGGCACCTCGTCGCTTCGAGGCAAAGGATTCCAGTATGCACCAGGGGCCGGCATCAATTGGAGTGTACCTGTCCACTGGTCTGAGCGTCCTCTGTGGACGTCCAGAACCGAAGGGGCCTTGAGTTCCTTGGGGTGCATCTTCAAGCTAGGACATGCCAATCTCATCATACTCATGCTCATAGTACTCTCCCTGTCCTTCATCATCTTCTCCCTGGTGTTCTCCTTCATCATCATAAGGACCATGTCCTTGACCACCCTCTACACTAGTTGCTGCACCATGTGAAGAAGAAGTCCCGCCAACATGTGCACCATGTGAAGATGAAGTCCCTCCAACATGTGTAGTAGAAGGTCCAGCACCAAGCTGTTGTGGGACTGCCACATCTGGGGCACGTCTACATCCAAGGCGTGCAGCTACCTTTCGGAGGCGATGCATGGCATGCTTCATTTTGAAAGCACTATTAGTAAGTGGGGTTGGTCGCAAAACTTTATAAAGATGTAACATCAACTGAATGATAGGAGACTACCTGAATGTGCTGTCGTAACATGGAGGCCTCATCAGGATCGCCTACAGGAATCATCAATGCCCTTCCTTTCTCGGTCACTGTCCTCATTATCTCCATGCTCTATGCAACAAAAACAAGAATTTAAGTCTCCATCACAGTAAAGACCTCAGAGATGGAAATAGTTGTATCACTTACAACTCTGGCTAACGCAGGGGCGATCTCAACTTGCCTGCCTTCTCGGGTAGCTTGATCATATGGGTTGTTGCCCTCATCCTCGCTCACAATGTCAGCAATGTCTTGCTCCGTCCAAGCGGGCCTCAATCGTCAAGTCAGACGATGCCGAGGTAGAAGACCATGGCGTTGATTCGGCCCATGCCAACCCTAGGGTTTGGCTCGGCCGTTCACGCCGAGATTAACGGCTCGGCGTCAATTTATGGAACGCCGAGCTTGGGCACCTCGTCGCTTCGAGGCAAATGATTCCAGTATGCACCAGGGGTCGACGTCAATTGACTAAACGCCGAGGTGCCCACCCTCGGTGTGTGTTCAATTGACGCTGAGCTCCTGGGTTCACCAAAAACAATGAACTGAGCATACACATAACACATAATACACAGAATACATAAGCATACCGAATTTCACATAACAAATGACCACACCGACATACACATTCATTCAACATCCATACATACATAAGGTCCAACACATTCAACATCCAACATAGTCCAACACATTCAACATCCATACATAGTCCATACATATGCTTCATCAATCATCCAACATAGTGCAAACATAGTACAAGGTCCATACATAGTGCATTACATAAGGTCCAATGCATACATAGTCCATGCACAAAAGAAGCATATGAAGTCTTTGGATCTTTTAGCTCACTCCTTGTCTAATGCTCCATCATTTTCTCCTTGTCTCTCTTTTTTCCTCTGATGAGTCCGGCCACAACTTTTAGCGGATATTGAGCTAAGTTAGAAACCATTAATGAGACTACCTTCACATAGCTATTTGGTGTTTGCTAAAATCTGAGCCAAGTATCATGATTACCGTATCAAAAGATGTACCTTAACGTGGACGGCGAGTGTAACGCTTTCCCCTCCCAAAGCGGATAGATACCGGAGTGTACATCCCTTTGGTGCGAAAGCGTCATCTGTGGACGCCCAGAATCAGAGGGGACTTGAGTTCCTTGGGGTGCATCTTCAAGCTGAGACATGCCAATCTCATCATACTCATGCTCATAGTACTCTCCCTGTCCTTCATCATCTTCTCCCTAGTGTTCTCCATCATCATAAGGACCATGTCCTTGACCACCCTCTGCACTAGTTGCTGCACCATGTGAAGAAGTACCGCCAACATATGCACCATGTGAAGATGAAGTCCCTCCAACATGTGCAGTAGAAGGTCCAACACCAAGCTGTTGTGGGACTGCCACATCCGGGGCACGTCTACATCCAAGGCGTGCAGCTACCTTTCGAAGGCGATGCATGGCACGCTGCATTTTGAAAGCACTATTAGTAAGTGGGGTTGGTCGCAAAACTATATAAAGATGTAACATCAACTGAATGACAGGAGACTACCTGAATGTGTTGTCGTAACATGGAGGCCTCATCAGGATCGCCCACAGGAATCATCAATGCCCTTCCTTGCTCGGCCACTGTCCTCATTATCTCCATGCTATATGCAACAAAAACAAGAATTTAAGTCTCCATCACAGTAAAGACCTCAGAGATGAAAATAGTTATATCACTTATAGCTCTGGCTAACGCAGGGGCGATCTCAACTTGCCTGCCTTCTTGGGTAGCTTGGTCATATGGGTTGTTGCCCTCATCCTCGCTCGCAATGTCAGCAATGTCTTGTTCCGTCCAAGCGGGCCTCAATTGAAGCCTTGTTCGTTGACCAAGCCAAACAAGGTAATCATCGTATGCCTTGTCACAATGGACGGCGTGGATGCCCATGTTGTTCTGCTCCATCAACATCCACTCATCAATGTAGCACTGGTGCTCCAGCTGCCAGTTGGTGATCTTCTTTTTTTGTCTGCTGAACCTGCAAATTTTACACCATAGCGGCAATATGAAGGCCTACTGAATGATTCATTCATGTGAAACAAACAAAATATTGCATGTTACATACTTGTGGAGCTGCCAACCGGTGGAGAAATCTTCGGGCGGAGAAGGCTGCAGCCTACCAAACTGCCGTGCTACACGGTGAGGGAGATGGTACTCCACTGCATAGAAACAAATAAGGGGGTCCTCATCGTCCAGATGTTCTCGTTTGCCGTGCACAAGGAGCTCAAGTTGAGATCCGTGACTTGCCTCCGCCGATATGGGCGCCATTCAACCTGTACACAACGTCGTCATCAACTAGTTGACGCTCAATTTGTGCACATATCCTCGATTAGGCCAAAAGGATGGGAAACTTACATGCTGTGGCAAAAGGGTGTCCAACTCGTTGGTGAAGCTGATATACGCGTGGCGTGACATGTGGTAAGTTCCGTGGGCTCGCTCGTAGAGGTGTGCCACGGTAGGGGTGACAACTACGTCTCCTTGAGGAAACCAAGGTTGTGGGGGATCGAGCTGATGCGGTCTCCCAACTGGAAGCCTCTCCCACATCCAAATCTGCAAAAGAGTGGAAACTTGCATGTTAATCACTTTTGTTAAGAAAAAACATTGAATTGTAGTGGAAACTTGTACAACTTTGCTTTATTACCTGCAATAGTGTGATGCACCCTGACATTGTAGCGTGCGCGCCTCTAGGACGGCGGCAAGCCTCGCAAAGCTGACGGTACAGGAAGGCAAGTATAGCTGAGCCCCAACTCCTATTGCTGGCATCCTCCCAGTTCCAAAGGCACAGGATGTACATCTAGGACGTCGTGTCTCCAGTGCCGTTAGGGAAGAGAACCGTACCAAACATGCGCAGGACGTAGGCCCGACAATAGTATGTCACGGTCTGGGCATCTACGTTGGGTGGGCACTCCCGAAACTACTGATGAAGCCACCTTAGGGACACCCCACTGCTGCGCTGTTTCTTGCCAGCCTCAACTGCCGCTAGGGGACGTCCCAAGAAGTGCTCAACCCGCTGCTGCCATCCTTCAGACTCCGTGTCTCCTGTCACTGGGAATCCTCAGATTTTGACTCCAAGGATCATGGCAACGTCCTCAAGAGTGACCGTCATCTCCCCGCACGGCAGGTGAAAGCTGTGTGTCTCCGAACGCCACCGATCTATCAACGCGGTTAGCGCCGCTGGGTTGAAAGGTGGCGTGCCTCGACGACAAACACGAGCAACAGTAGCAAGGTTCGCCAGCTTCAGGAGGGGCATGTACCTCTCGTCGTAGACCATGGTCATAGAGGCCTCATGTGTCATTGGCCTCAGCACATTCAAAACCTGCAAAAAAAAGACAAGCATGAAAAAGTATTAGTTCATGTCACTTTATAAAGAGCATGGACTATAGAGCAAAAGATGAACAATGCACTGTTTCATACGAATTATTGAATATACCTCTCCGTTCTCGATCCTTCGAGCCCGGTGGTGCTCATCGAACCTTGGATCAAGAAGGGGGAACCGATCCATCCTACAACATAAGGAATGACAAAGCATTAGTATAAGTTAAAGCATGTATATGTGGTACGAAGTAACATAACAATAAAAAAAACAAAAGTAAACCAATGCACTATTACACAAAGCAATTCAAGTAGCTAGCTTGGTGGATACCTGTTGTCTAAGTAGTTCAGGACATTTTCTCTTATTGTGGCCCGTCTTATGGCAACCAGAGCAACAGCTCTTTTGGGTGTCCTCTACAAAATGTGTCCCAACCATACTCGTGGTTGATCTACCTTTCGTGGCTTGGTCCATGTCCATCCTGAACCGCTTCCACCGCCTAGGTCCTCTACTCTTCCAGAGTAAACCAAGATCAGCCACATACTTGGGGCCATCATAAGTAGGCCATTGACTCTCGTCAAGAAATGGCTCGAACTGAGGATTCCAGGTGCTCATTAGGTTCCTCAAAGAGAACTCCGCGGCCATACGGGGAGGGACCTCAGCGTCAACACGTCTAAGGCGACAGGCTGTAATCATGTGGGAGCAAGGCCTATGGTATATGGTTGGTTTTTCACACGTACACTTGTTCTCATTGATCACTACTTTATGTTTTTGAGCACCCTGGTCTTCACCACCAATGTTAGTTTCACCACCCTCTAGAATCTCATATCCATGGTTGATCGGATCGAAACATGAACCCTTCTGTTGTTTAGATTTTTTCTTTGAGAAAGCTAGTTCTTGAGATGCTAAAAGTGGCCAAGCTTTGCCTGCTGTCCATAGAGACCTCGCATGCTTCTTCCTCGAAATGAACCAAGCATTCAACTTGTAGAAGGTGAATGAGGCAATAGCAGTCACAGGCAGACCACGACAACCTCTTAGAAGGCTATTGAACATCTCTGCCATGTTACTAGTCATGAAGCCCCATCTCCAACCTCCAGTGTCATATGCAAGTGACCACTTATCCTTCGACACCATCAACTCGCTCAAGAATTGCCTGCCATCAACATTTGTGGCTAACTTCAGGGCATCTAGCTTGTCTTTGAATAATTGAACCTCTTGCTGCCTGCAAACCTCCTCAAATAATTTGAAGTTGTCCTTTGTGTGATCACGCCTTATAAGATTCTGAGCAAGGTGTCTGGTGCACCACCGGTGATGTATTTGGTCGTAACCAGGAATCTCTTGTTCTACGACATTCAGAATGCCAGCATGCCTATCGGATATCACACAAACATCACGTCCTAGACCAATTACCACTTGTCTTACTAGCCTGAGAAACCAACACCAACTATCTGTGTCCTACTTCCGAACAATCGCAAAGGCCAATGGCACAAGCTGGTCTTTTGCATCTGTCCCAATACAAACAAGCATTGTGCCTTCAAATTTCCCTGTAAGAAAGGTCCTGTCAATTGAGACGACGGGCCTGTAATGCTTGAATGCTTCGATGCTCTGCCCGAACGCCCAAAAGGCCCTTCCAAATACCTAGGTACCATTCCTTGTTTCACCCTCCTTAGGTAAATACTCAAAGTGCATCCCATGATTTACAGCCCTCATTGCGTTCAACATTACAGGGAGGCGCTCATAAGCTTCTTTCCAATTTCCAAATATTATTTCCAGTGCACGCTGCTTTGCCCTCCATGCTTTTCCATACTTGACATAGTAATTGTACCGTTGGAAGATTATCTCAACCAACGCGGACACCGTAATGGTTGGCATATGCTTCACCACGGGGCATAACTGCCTTGCAATGAACCTAGAATTGAGCTACAGATGGTTCTCTTCTGCCTCAGCAGTGGCACAAACATGTGGTTGCTTCATTGAGATAATCTTCCATTTGCCTGCCTTCGTCTTCCTAGCACATACTCTCCAACCACACTGTTGTTCTTCACAAGCAACAGTGTACCTCTTCTCCTTGAATGAATTGATGACCCTAAAAGGTCGGTTGTGTACAATGGAGTACTCTTGCAACCATGTTTTCAACTCATCCATGGTAGCAAACAATATGCCTTTCCGTATGATGAGGCAACCGCTAACATCAGGCACTGTTGTATCACTTGGCCCACCATCGCTCATCGCCACGCGTGACCATGGCTAAGGTCCTCGAAATCACCAACTAGTGGATCTCTCCAAGGCAAGACCCTAGACAATATCTATATTTCTCTAAAATTGAGATGACCAATGCAGGCGATCGTCATCGAGTCTTGGCTATCTCCTCTACGAAGGATTCATCATCTCCAGCTATCTCCATGTCAAAACGGTTCGTAGCCCTAGCATCACCAAAGTCTTCTTCACCACTAAGATCATCTTCGTCGCTAAGCTCATCCTCAATAGAAAAGTCTCCGCTAGCGTCGTCCAAACCTTCTTCTGCATCACCAATTACATAATTATCATCCTCTTCATCACTATCATGATTGCCCTCACCATCGGCAACCGTATTCTCCTCCTCATCTCCACCGCCCTCAAACCAACCTCCATCACGCTCGAGCGATCCAAACACTTCACCACCACCATAGCCTAGTTGTGTGACAAGTATTTCTTCTTCAGATAAAGGACCATAACCTATGTGAGCGGGGGAAGATGGGCATGCTTCGAAGTTATCATTTCCTAAGCCGGACTCCTTACTTACTACTAAATCCAAAGATCGCACTTCTGAGGCCAATACAACTGCCTTGTAATCATTCCATTCAGACTCGCTTGTAATTTTGAGCAACCGCTTGATCCGAGGACCCTTCGACGACCCAACATCTATGACACCTTCAAACTGAACATGCACGTCTCCTTCATTCCAGCCTAACTTAACCTTCACTCGCTCCACTAACTGGGTCAAAGATGGTGTTTCAGAAAAAATCAACAACTCCTCACACATGTCCAGAAATTCCAAACTATCATCTCTTGTCCTAACAATACGGCCTCCATGATGCAACCTCACTAATTTATCCATCTACAGCCATCACACAACAAGTAGTGCCACATATCAATATATCATGCGAGTTTCAATCCAATAAGTAAAAACTAAAATATATCATTTCATCTTTTTCAACCCCAACAACATAATCATTTCTAGTCATAAAAAATTAAAATCTAATGACCAACAAATAACTAAAATACATACTAACCCTAATGACCAACAAATAACTAACCCTAATGACACCTACAATAAACAAAGAACCCTAATGACCAAAATAACTAGAAACCAAACTAACCTAACATGTTCAGCACATAAAACAGTTAAACAGCAATGCACTCAATCAACCTAAGCCATACATTTTGCAAATGCAAATACATATATACCAAAACACCATACACCCATGATTCCACATGATTAGAGACAATACAAGCATATTTACGCGGATAGATTGGAGGAGGGGAGGGACCATTACCTTGAGGAAGCTTCGGGAGACGAGATCCGGACACCTAGGGTCGCATTTGGGGGTTAGGGTTTCGTGGGGGCCGTGGGGGGAGACGAACAGAGAGTCGGCGCTTTCAGAATGGAGGGAGGAAGAAGAAGGGGGCCGCGGCACGGCTTCTAGAGTCCAGACCTCGGCGTTGAGTCGGGCCGCGCCGAGTCTGGTGGCTCGGCGTTAAGTGACCCCGCGCCGAGCTATTGGGCCATGAAGCGTTGTTGGGCCGCCTGGGCCGTGCGCCGGATGGTGCCAATAGCTCGGCGTGTAGTCCCACCGCGCCGAGGTTGGGCTAGTGGCGTTGGCTGACACAACGCCGATGTGTCGGACCCCATGCACCACCGTGTCGCCGTCGACCGAGGTTGTCCGTGACGTGGCAAGACCTCGGCGTCGTGTCAGTCGACGCCGACCCTCATACCTTGGCGTCATGTTCTAAGACGCCTAAAAAATGATCTATTTTCAGCAAACGTTTTGGCATAGGTCTTTTTATAAAAAAATATTTTCAAAAGGGACCAAAATGCAAAAATATGGTTCCATATGCTTCAGCTGTTGGAAGCTTGATGAGTGTACAAGTACAAGTAAGAACTTACCCTGACGTAGTTTAAGTATCTGGTATATTTTGGTAGAAGTCCAGTTCAGATATAGATAACTGGAATTGAGTTGAGAATGTCATGCAATTTTGTAAAGTATCGTAGGCCTCATGCTGAGTAAGAAAGAATAAGTACTCTCAAATAGTTGAGGGTACAAAAGTTAAGTCTTGGCGAGATGTGTAGTAAAATCCATAGCAGTTGCTAACACTTGCAGTTGGAGTATTATTATGGAAAAGCTCTAAAGAAACAGTTATGGTGTCATCAGTGATGCATACTATAGTATAGCTTGACATGAGGCTTAAGGAACAGGCAAAAGAGGTTAAAAGGATTAATACCCGGATTTGACAATGGTAGACAACAGCAATAACTATTTAAAGTGGGTTAACTCCTAAGACAACATGTCAAGTGTGCTGCCAAACACATTGACACTAAGTTATATGTTGTAAAGGAGAAAATTCAGAATCATTTTGAAAGCATTGAGCACATAAGTACCGAGTAAGTACTTGCGTATCCGCTTACCAAAGGCTTACCACCCAGTGCGTTGAGAGAACAAACAGTCGATATGGGTTTACGGGAAAACATATGATTTCTGGATACTACGGGCCTAGTTGAGTATCTGTTTCAAAACAAATATGTGCATTGTAGCTATTAAATCTAATGGCAACTGACCATGACGATAAAGCACACTCTATGCACTGATATGTGATGGAATGGGAAAAAGATAAAGAAAGTTGAGTTTAAGTATGAGGTGAGATCAAGGGAGAGATTGTTAATGTTGATCTCATCCGACTCGGCCCAACGGTCGAGTCGGGCCTTGATCCAGTGCCCTGATCGGGGGCATCCAACCAAACAAAGGTTGGTGGACCCCCGTCGCGCAGCACTATATAGAGGGAGGTGAGGGTCCGGGCGTAGACATGAGGTCAAGACAGCCGCCACGATCCCCACTGACTGTGCTAACTCTACCGATCAAGGAAGTGCTGAAGCGGCGGGAAGTGCCACCACCGGACCACCAGCACCTCGCCTCGTCGTCGGTCACCATCAGTGC